TCTGGTAGAAGGGAAGGAGTGGGCCAGAGACTTCTGTACTTGCTATTGCAGACCACTGAGAAGACTGCAGCTCAGGAGTCATTCTGAATGATTGCTCTGCGAGATAAAAAACAGAGGACAACAGCCTGATCGCCTCTGTTTTTTATCTCGCTACTGGCTGAACATGGACCTATGAACCAGGAGGTCATGGTTTGATTCCCAGACAGGGTACGTGCTCTGGTTGCAGGCTTGATCCCCAGTGTGGGGTGTGCAGGAGGCAGCCAATCAATGATTCTCTCTCAACATTGATGTTTTTATCTCTCTCTCCCTCTCCCTTCTTCTCTGGAATCAATAAATATACATTTAAAAAAATAATGGAGCGCTCCCCTTAAGTCAATGAAAGGCAGACTGACTCACTTCCTCTGGTGGACAAAGGAGGCTTGGCTGTGCTCCCGCAAACGTCCACTAGGGGGAGATTTTTACAGGACAGCCCAGGCCCTTCAAGTTCCAAGCAACCCCAACTGATTTTTATTAGTGATTCTTGGAAGCAAAAGAACCTCTTCTCATCATCTCATGAATACCCAGCTCATAATAGCAGATCCTATTTTGATCTCTGCCCTCCTCAGCCACCCACACTTCTAAAGACAGGTAGATGATGACTTTTTTATAAGCGATGCTACCTCCCTTACACCTGCAGTTCTCTGTCCTCATCAGTCCCTCATTTGTGATGCTAAATCTAAAACAACTGCAATGGGAAAGTGGAGACTTTTCATGCCAGCTCAACAATGAAATATCTACGGCCTCCTAGAAGTTCCAAGTTACTCAGCCAAAGTGAAAAGCGACCCATCTAAACACCTCATCTGACTGGGCAGGGGCGAGGCTGTTGGAGCTGCTGCCTGTACTCCAGGCTGCACCCACGAAGGCCGTCCTGTGCTGTATGCCTTCCCACGGGCACCTGGGCTCCCAGGTGGGCAGGGCGGCCACCATTAAGAAAGCCTTTGAGAACTTTCACATTAAGCTGATTTAGCAGTCATGTGCAGGCGCCCACAAACAGAAGGCGCTATTGCCTGAGGAAAAACCTATTCCCCAAGGGCCAAGTGGGCCAGGGTACCTCTGCCCACAAAAAAAAAAAAAAAAAAAAAAAATTAAGTGGAGTTTGTTGAACTCTGCATGAGCAATATGCCCTTTAAGCAGAACTGCCCCCATCACAGCATTTCAGCATTCCTTTGGGGGAACCTAGGTGTAGTTTCGTGAAAAACCTTATGTGATGGAAAAAGTCAGACCCTCGTTATAAAACACGTTTAGGGATTTTAAGAAAATGCAACCCAGGCATATAAACCTAGAAAACCCCTCAAGAACTTCCCTGATCATTTCCTGCCTTTGTTTTTTATGGTCTTCCTCTATGGCCCTACTTGCAACTTCATGGGAGGGAGTGCCCGAAGGAAACTCACCCCTCCATTACGCTCACCTGGTTTTAAAAATGCTCCCTGAAGCCAGTGGACTCCACCGCCCCAACCTCTCCCCTCCCCTTCTTAAATCTCAGTCCTCTTTCGCAGCATGGACTGGGACCACAATTAAACCAACCATATATTTTCTCTTTCCTGGTTTCACATTACAACTTGCAGTGAATTCTTTTTCCAGAGGCTTTTTCCTTTAAAGAAAACCTATGGGGCGGAGATGAGGAAGGACTCTGACAGAACTTGGAAAAACAAAACTCTTAACTGCAAATTTAAAAACTAAACACACCACAATGTAAAACCTGGCCCTGAATGGAAGCTAAGACACACACTCCAATTCGTGTGGTGTCTGCACCTCAGACGGCAGCCGGAGTCCCAGGCTGGCTCCTCAGTGCGACCGGAAGGGGAGCTCATGTGCATCTGCCACTCGTTCTTACACTTTATGACCTGTCTGCAAACCCCGAAACCAAGGGCACCCCTCCACCACCTCCGTTATCCCTTCTCTCCCTCCTCTGGCAGCACTGTGGGCAGAGGCACAGAGCTGCTGCCAAGCCAGGCTGCCACCAGGCCCCTCAGCGCGCACTGCTGAGCGTTAAGAGCAAACTGGGCAGCTAACTCGCGTTCTGACGGCATTGCTGCGGCTTCCTGGGGGTCGACCAGTAGGTCATCCACTGCCTTTTGCTCAAGGGGATCCAAGTCATGGCAGAATTCCGTGGGGGTCCACAACTTTACTCAAAGATTTTGGCAAATTATGTGGGAATGGAAGCTGGCCAACATTTTCATACCCTTTAGAGGGGTTGATTTTAAGAAGAGGGCCTAGCCGTTTAAGGGCTTGTTTCACTAGGGATTGGGGGGAGGTGTGGGGAAAAGGCAGAGGGTTCCGGGTCACACCCTCTTCCTGGACAAGCTACCCAGCCAGATGCAGCCCTCCCTCAGTACCTGAGACAAGGATGAGGGGGGCTGGGATTAAAGGCGACCCCGCTAGTCAATCTGACAAGGGGGGAAGGACTCCCGGACACCACAGCTCCCATCCCCACCGAAGTCTGAGAGAGAGCAGCACAGGACACAATTACAACTCTAGAAAAATAAATACATTTTGAGGGAACAGTCATCTGCTTCAAGCAGTGGGGGAACCTCAAGCTTCCAAGATTTGCAGAACTGAATCCATACCTGTGAGACTGTTATCAACCAATGGCCAGCTAGCTGTGTCTCAGTGACCTGCAGCAGCCAATTTTTTTTTTAGTTTGGGGGGATGAGGGGTGCTAAACCCCAGTATTTGGAGATGAAAAAATGTACTGAATAGAGGGCATGAGTAAATGCAGAAGCTGTAAGGGGGAAAGGGTGGCAGGAGAGCACCGGGCAGCGTTAATTGCTCTGTGGGGGGCTAGAGGAAGGAAGCGCGTATCAGCACAAGAGAATCACCGGATCCAGGTCAAGCAGAGATGTGATTAAGGAAAGGACATGCAGAGTGCTTTTTCAAACAAGACCAAGTTTTGTTTTACTGGGAAGAGAGTTAATGAAAAGAAAAACACCCACCCTCCCTGCCAAGGGCTGGGCATCCCTAGTTCCTGCAATGCCCTGACATCTGTGTAGCCCATCCCTGCTCTGGAGAATTTGGCAGCAGAGGCTAGGGCTAGAGAAGACAACACCCCAAGCCTTTAAAGTTTCACATCCCTTTTAGAAGTGTTGCTACCAAGAGCTAAAACTGTATACCCTTCCTCATATCCCACATCCAGCAGGGCCCACAGCCTGAACAAAGGGGTCTGCTGGGAGGGGGTGGGGGAGGGGGCGACAGCTCTTCCCTGCCAGCTCAGCAAAGCCTTCCAGGGGCACTGCCCTGGTCTCCCACGTGGCGGCCCTGCTGCATGCTCTGCAGGGCCCCTTTCTGACTGGAGTCCTACAGGGAGGAGGAAGGGCTGCCCCGCATGCGCCAGGGGCTGAAGTTTGCTAGGAAGTTAACGGGCTAGCAATGGGCTCTCCTCTGTCCCTCTCCTCTCCATCACCTGGAAGCACTACCTGTGCTATCATGGGGTCCACCATCACTCTCTTTTGCCTGGGGAATAAGCCCGTTTCTTCTCAGGGAACAGTTGGTAACTCCATGTTTGCGCAACTGGTGGCGTTCACAGTTAGATTTGGTAGAAAAGAAGGCATCGCATTTTTGACAAGGGAAGGGTTTCTGACCTGAAGCAGGAAAAAAAATAGATATTTATCTGGCTTTCTACTGCAATGAAAAAGAAAAGTCGCTTTTGATTCATTCTTCTGGGATTATTGGCATTTGCTTCCCCCTCCTCCACCCGATTCTTTAAAGAAAATAAACAAAACACATTAAAAAAAAATACTGAACACAAACAAGTCAAATGATCATCTTCCCTTAGTCTGAGTGGGATGGAATGACTTCAAAATACTAAAAGTTAACAATGAGACCAAGACACATATATTTAAAGTAAAACGACAATATCAGTTAAAACCTTAAATAATAACAACAAAGAGTGGAGGGATCTTAGAGCACAGCAAGAAACAACTGCAGTTTGTCACAAGGAGAAGACACAGCTTTTCATAATTTCTCGCAAGGCAAGTGCTACCCATGCTGGGAAATCGGAGGGACGCCAGGCCCTCCTGCAGGAATCGGGAACCCCTGGTATCTTTGGAGGGGTCTCCTCTTCCTGACCTACCTGGGCCTGGCCTCCCACAGAGGAGGCAGGTGGGGAGCTCTGACTCTGCAGGTCTCCCCCTGGCTGACTGGATGAGCCATCCTGCAGTGACCTCTGCCCAATTTCACTGTGTCCCTAGTCACAGGAGGTCTGCTCACGTAAGAAAGGTTCTTTGTTCCTGCTCTAAGATCCTGCGAGTCGTGAATAAGTGACTATCATATCCTGAGTCCAGGCTAGAAGACCATGTGCTCCACTCAACAGCCCCTCCCCACCAACTCCACCATGGGGTCACCTGATGAGAGGAGCATGCCCATCTTTCTCCCCAGGTCATCTGCTATGGTTTGCCTATCTTTTCTTTAAAAATAATAAATAAATAAATAAATAAATAAATAAATAACTATATCTTATTTGTTTGCCTATCCTCTCATTTGGACTCCTTTTGTACTGTAAACATGATGTTTTAAAATGCGAGCCAGACCCCTCTGCAACTTGTCCCTTGTTTGCATGAATGAGAGGGGAAAGCAAGGACCAGAGCAGAAAGTGTGGACAAAAAGTAGGAAGGAAGGAGGAAGGGGAGAAGGGAAAGGATTAGGTGACCTCAGGAGAGAGAAGATGGAGTAAATCATTGACTGCATCACTGGATTCTTCTGTTTTCCCCAATCTCCAGATTCTAAGGTCCTAGTTTCTGAGTTTAAAGGTTTGTGTACTAAAATACAGGACTTCAGACCTACAGCCCAGTATGCCTGTCTTGTAACCTTGGAAATGCCATAATGAGACGCACATGTTAAGAAATGATAGCTCAGCCTGTGTGGCTCAGAGGTTGAGCATTGACCTATGAAACGAGGAGGTCAGGGTTTGATTTCCTGTGGAGGTACATGCCTGATCCCCAGTAGGGGGCATGCAGGAGGCAGCTGATCAATAATTCTCTCTCAGCATTGATGTTTCTCTCTCTCTCTCTCTCTCTCTCTCTCCCCCTTCCTCTCTGAAATCAAGAAAAATATATTTAAAAATATGACAGAAAAAGTAAAAAATAGAGTTGCCATATGATCCAGCAATTCCATTTCTGGGTATTTATCCAAAGAAAATAAAAACACTACTTGAAAAAGATATATGCACCCCTATGTTCAGTGCAGCATTACTAGTAAGCCTGGATATGGAAGCAACCTAGACATCCATCAATAGATGAATGGATAAAGAAAATGTGAGATTATATATATATATATGGTGTACATATACAGTGGAATATTATTCAGCAATAAAAAGAAGGAAATCTTGGTATTTGTGACAACACAGATGGACCTAGAGGGAATTTAAAATAAAACAAATGCATAAACAAAACAGAAACAGACCCACAGAAACAGAACACGCTGACAGTTGCCAAAGGGAAGGAGGGTAAGAGGATGGGAATAAAAAATAATAACCATAAAATAAAATAAAAATAAAAACAACCCAAAAAGGCATGATACTAAATGCAATGCATGAATCCAGACTGGATTACAGACTGGGAAAAAGTAGCTCAAAAGGACATTTTTGGGTTAACTGATGACGTGATTATGACTGTGGATTAGGAAAAGAAACAAAAAGAAGAGGCAGGAAAGTCAACCTGCTCAGTTCTGCTGAAACACCAATCATGGGCCCTTCCGTCTCCACTGAGACAGCTGTGCATGGAGGCCTGGATTAGTGCAGGGACCAGCCCAGGCCTGCCCCTGGGCCTTGCAGAGCAAGAAAGGACCAGCATCATCATCTCCCAGTCTCACAACTCTGGGGTGCCATTCATGCAGACCTCAGATGAGAGGTGTATGACTCAGCACCACGAGAATCACTGCCCCGCCAAGTTCAAGCATCAGCACTAATCAAAGAAAGGGGCGCTCATTCCCTCCCGAGCTGACTCTTTCAGCAATGGTCCAAATCACCATGGAGCTTTTTAAAAATTCAGATGCCTGCACAGGTGATTTATTATAGAACTGTACCCGTGAAACCTATGTAATTTTATTAACCAATGACACCCCAATAAACTCAATAAAAATAAATTAATTTAAAAAAAAGAAAAAAAAAAGAATACAGATGCTTAGAACAACCAAAGACCAGGGAATGGGAAACCTGGGAGGTGGGATCCGAGACCCAGGAACCTGGCACACACACTCGCAGGAGCTCCACCAGAGCCCACAGCCTCAGCAGAGCCCTCCAACTACCCTACACTTTACCTTCACAGAGCCCAGTAGGTGTTTCTGTTAAAATTAGAAAAATGACCTAAAAAATCACACTGTTAAGTAAAGACTAGTTTTAAAAGTATGTTAATGTTAACTGTGTACCCTCCCATTATTCCTGCTTTTCACTAAAAATTGAAAATATTTAATAATTATTTGGACTCTGTTTTAAGTAAGAAAAATATACTTTTCCTTTAACATTTTATTACCAAAAGTCAGGCCAGATGAGAGGGAGAGAACTGGGCCAAGAGCAGACAAGTCAGAGCTATGACTATTAACTGTGATATGATTGTTGCTTTTAAATAAAACAATTGGTTTCTTGCTTCTACCTAATTCCATGCTTTACTCTGTAATTTTCAAGTGTCTCACTGTTAAGCTGGTTGGACAGTCAGGCTGATGTCCCATGATGGCGCTTTATATTAATGCTAAATTCAGAGAACAAAATAATGACACCAAAGTTACTGTATCGCATTATGAGGATTCCCAAAGGGACACTAACGGGAGTCTTTAAAGTTCACATTTCACTGCCAGTCTTATGTTTCGAGTAGCAGTGTGCTTTCTGGGCTGCACAGACAGAGGAAAACACGAGCCCTCCAGCACTTACATTGTACAGGTTTCCAACGTGTTCCCTGGTAAGCTATAGGGAAAGCATCAAATGAGTTCATTTACATGGTAACTGCCACAAATAAATGCTTTAGGAGGGGTGTTTGAAAATGTACCTGTAACCACAAGGAGTTACCTACGTGCCCAAGACTTGAGATGACCCTCTACCCCAACGTGATAAAAACCAGCCCCAGCCAGTTTCTACTCTCATAGAGCAGTCAAAACAAGAGGAGAGAAATTTTATAGTCAACAGTACTATCTGACAGGCACTGGAACATAGAGCAGAAGAATAAACACTGAGAATAAGGTTCATGATGCGACCTCACACCCCACACTTCTCTCCACCCCTCAGTGAAGGTCTCTTTCTCTCTGACTTTGGCAGAGGCGTGCACAGGGCTGGCTCCGTTAAATGACCAGAGCTGCTACTTAAAAGGAAAGTCATAAGGAGCCAAACACACCTGGCGTCAGAAGTGATTTACACACCCAGGTTTGCACATCTTACTGACTTTAAATGCAATGCCTGTGGCCCATGAGCAGCAGGTAGGAGAGGTGAGTGGGGAGGCCCTAGGCTGGTAAAGAGAAGGGGTAAGACCCATCAGGAGGAAGTGAGGGAGCCGGAATCCCTGCATGCAGGAAATGGAGGGCAGCTGAGACCCACAGGTCCCAGCCCCTCCGCGCTCTGAGGAGGAAGGAGGACCAGGTAGGAGTGGCCTGGCTGTGTTTTTCTGGCACTCACTCCCCCACCTGTGGCCTAAAAGCACACAAAATGCTCACAAGGGGAAAATGGAAGGAGCTGTGACCCAAAGAGGCAACACTGTTCAGACAGAGAAAGGCAAGGAGCCAGGAAATGTCCCTGATCAACAGGACCCTGTGGCCGGGAGAGGAGCAGAGGGAGGAGATTCAGCTGGTGTGGAGAGCACACCAGGGGACATAAAATCTGACAGCTAACACCAGCCTCCTCCTGAGACTCAATTCCTAGAACCTGAGCTACGCAGAGAGAAAGGTCGAAACCAGATGCCCCTCGCCCACAGCAACAGTGACCCCTAGCTCATCACTGAACACCTGGTCTACTCAACGCGGCCTGTTCGGGGGCTGGGGTGGACTGGAAACACGTCTATGAGACAACAGACACACATGATGGTAGTAATTCTATGCATCTGCCCAGTGGTCAGGAGAAGGCTGACTCTCGAGATACAGACACAGTCGCCTAAATGTAACCTAAAATGGGACGCTCCTCGAAGCTGCTGGCTGAAATGCAGCTCAATTTTAATGTTCCAATAAAAACCCACAAAAACCTCTTTTCTGTATGACACTAGTTCACAGGATCATCCCAGAGCCCAGGTTTAATTTCTCTTATATGTGCGCCTTAGTCTCATTTCAAAGTTCCTGGAGGGAGACATCATAGAAAGCAGGGGAGCAGGGGACAGGCAGCTCGGCTTCTTCAGCAGCAGAGTCGCCTTCCAGAACACTGCTGGTCCGCAGGGGGAGGAGGGGGCGCGCGATCCGACCAGCTTCATCCCTCACTTGATGGATGGGGAGTGTTCAGTACCAGGCACAGCCAAGTGCTCT